CTTAATCTACAAATGATCGGAATCTAACTTTTTCTTTATATTAAGCAAAAATTGATTTAATTAATAGCATGTCAATATATTGGGCATTCCCATAGGTAAATATAGCAAACTTGGATGAGTTTAATTGGTCAATTACCACGTTTTAGTCCTCTGAAAAAAAGAGGAAGTAGAGATTTTACAAAGGCTATGTTTGATTGTGCAAAATTTTCTATAGAAAATGGAAAATCAATGCCAACTTCCACTTTTGCAATGTTTGATAGCAATAATTTTTCTTGGAAATGATTTTCTTGCTTTCCCTTACACAAGTACAATTTCCATGCTTTTGTTGAAAATGAATTCACACCATCTTGGTGGGAAATTTTTTTTCGAGGTTACCCTTTTTTTTTTAATTGGAAAAATTTTTAGACACAATGGTAAAAAAATTTATTACTTTTATTAACAATTTCCATGCAAAACAAATCCAAACGAATGATATTCGGTATTTTATTATTATTATTATTATTTTGAAATGGGAACAAATTCTAGATCAAATGGTAAAAAAAAATTTATCACTTTAATGGACAATTTTCATGAAAAACGAAGTCAAACGGATACCAAACTTTCAACATTTTATATGTGGAAAATTATTCCAATCAAATACAATTAATTACAATTCTTAGTAAAACAAATTCTAGACAATTCAATTCCCTATAATTCTTTTTTTTTTCCACCCTAATTCCACGTTTGCAATCAAACGACCATAATTTAAAAACTCACATTCCCCCAAAACTGACCAACCACTTCCCTCTCAATTCCTACTTTTCATTGTTTTAATTTTCCTAAATTTCCATCCTGCACATCTAAAGGGGACGTCAAAGAGAGTTACGGGAACCAAAAAGTACATATTTTCCAATCTTTTGGGGGTTAGCCTTCTTTTAATTAAAATAAAAAGAATGCATTTTTTGTGTGATGTGATGGTGAATAAGTTTTTGAAAAAGAATAAAAAGTTATTGATGTGATGTAAAATATTATTTTATTGAAGAATGTGTGATTGAAAATGAGTATAAGAATGAAAATGAGAATGTGGCTCAAACAGAGGCTAAATAGCAAATTGTTAGTTGAACCCCAACCTTGAGGGTCCCCCACTGCTCCGCCCCTAGAGCATTGTGGATGAGGTAAATATCTGGATTCGCCTCAACAGATCAGTGTATAAGAGCTGTCATATTTGTGTCCACAAATAGTCTAATTTCATACTTTATAAGAGGCGGGAATCGAACCCTCACACTGCGACTGCAAATTGTTTCATGGATTTAAATCATGGGTCGCGACTTTAGTTTCATTTTAAAACATTTTCTCTGTTACGAATACGAGTTAAGTTTGTTAATTGTTGTGTGGTCATTTATCCTATCCGTGATAGAAGAATAAAATTAAAAAAATAAAAAAATTTAATGCATTATATTATCAATTCATAACCTATTTTTAAATGTACGTGGAAATAAAATCAAAAGGTTTATCTTTATCTATTTGGCAATTTTGATAACAACCGCATCTGTTTGAAATATGTGATTTCGTCAGTCGTAAATTAATCTTTTGTATTAAATCAATTTTTGATTTTCATTTTGAAATTATGAATCCAGATATCTCTCTTTTAAATTTTAGTTATAGTTAAGGTTTGTTTACTAGGAGATAGTTTATTTCACGTTATCCTTTTCCATTTTTTAGATGATGAAAGCAAGATGATTCAAGACGATTACTTGCGGTACAATAGATTCAATACTAACACGTTTAAAGATGAATTTTGTTTAATTATCTTATATTTTTCTTAATTATTTATTATATTAATGAAAAATTAATCATTTTTCGTATTTATAATTTAAAAAATAAATTAAAATAATAATACTTCCAATTCTAAGATATCTAGATTTGGAGTGTTACAGGGAATGTTCTTACTTTCATCTGGATGTTTCAATTTTTCTCTGGATTCCACAACGTCAACTTCACTGTGATTGTCAATATTCAATCCAAAAATATCAAAATGATAGTGGTGGGCAGGGCTGGCCCCACATGCCCATTTACCTTTTAGTGAAAAAACCCAAAAAGAAAAATTTCTTTGGATTTTTTTGCTACGTATCAGTCCAGTAGAAATTTTGTTTTGCCCCTCCTTGCTCCGCCTGTCTGGCGAGTTATTTCTTTGGGTGATTTTTCTGGTATGATTTCGAAATGAGCTGAATCTGATCCACACGGAAAGGTACAACCTGTAAATCAAATGTGTGGATTGAAAGGTCATGATCATTTTGTTTAAAGAGGAACAGCTTCTCATCATATTGCAGTATGACATGGACATTGGCATATTAGGGTCTCTCTCTGCCACTATGCACTCTATCCTTTGGGTGATACTACACATATATGACAGTGGACATAATGGACCCCCCCAGTATGGAGGGGTGTGTAAACCCATACATATACCTTAAAAAGTGTACAAGTATCATTTTCCTTTATGTTATGGTAACAATCATGCTTGATGTGTACATCATGGTGTACACCAAGTTTTATATTTTGTTATGTAACAATATATCTTTGGACAGTTTAAAAATAACACAATTTTTCCAATTGTTTGTTGACAAGTTGGATAATATCACAATGACGTACACAAAAAAGGTGTACAAATGGCATTACCCTACTAGTAAATGTCAATTGCATCACGATCCCATCTATTCATTCAGTTCACAATCAATGGAAATTGCTTTGCATAGTAAACAAAGCCAGGAAATCATTTTTTTCCTAGACGGTGAGCTACGTATTGTACTACGGTGAATTGGCCTCTCTAGCAAACAAGGACTTCTTTGTTGGGCGGAACGAAGGGTGCCAGTGATTCTTTGATTTTGTCAGGATATCCAACACCTCGTGAAACTTATAAAGACAAATGACAACATATTTCCCCTCTTCCATACCGGGAGGACATTCTTGTTAAGGCTTTCACCTCCTGTCCGGACCGGATTTGCGAAAAAGAGAGCAAGTTTGAGAATGGCAAGTCTTGAAGGATTTTTCTTGGTTTTTCATGTGGCTGTGAAATATTCAGAGGAAAAATGTGGAATTGTAAAGGAAATTCGAGGATTTTTTTGATTGAGGCAACTGGAGCATCTATTTTGATTATGGAGTTCCTAAAACTTCAGGAATCCGAAGAGCAAGTGATAAACAGTAAAAAGCGAGCCAATGTTCCGCCAAAAAACACATTTTTTGACTAAAAAAAGCTGAATTTACTTTAGATTTGTTTCCAACGAATATCACACACTGATACATATTGAAGTATGGAATAATTAACATTTCCTTCAAAATAAAGAAAATAATACAGCATAAACCTGCAAATTCTCTACATATTGCTCGAGAGGATGACAGCTTGCGTGAACGGTTAGCAAGTGAAGCATAAAGTGACACCAGCTTCCACGGTACAAGGCGTTGATCTTACAATATCAGCAAAAGCAGATGGGTAAGCTTGTAAATGTACTGAAAGCTCGACCAGATATACGTACACATTTTCCAGAATGTCGGAACATACTCGAACAGTCTTAACTGCGGAGATTGGGTATGCACACTCCACCATCTGGGTTTGTCTGTTCCTTCCATATTCGTCCAGTTACACGAAGCTTCAGCTCTTTCTTGTCTCCTCCCGAGAAAAACAGTGCCATGTTACTCTGTATAATCAGGCCATCATGGCTGTCTCGAACTTCAGTGTGACTATCCCTGATGCTCCGGGGGGTGCCCTCCCATATAAGTTTCCGACCATTTCCACCAACCTCCAAGCTGTAACTATAGTTTCGAGCCTCTATCTCATCTCCCATGAATCGGAGGAAAGCCATGTAAACAGGAGCTGTGCCCAGTTGAAAAGCTTCGAAATGAAGACAAAAATACTGACCAAAACAATTGAAAACCTAAAAAAGGAAAGAGACAGGCATTCAGCGGACACAAAATAATGTTCAGAGTAAATTTATTTTAGAGCTTTCGAACACTATCAAATGCTATACTAGCAGAAAATGAAAGGAAACTAAAAAATAACTTTAGTTACACAGTTTGAATGGAGTCCACTATTCAAATTCATGTCACAACAAATCAAGTTGTTAGACATCTTCACTAGCATCCTTTTCTATAACAATGGATTCAGCATTCGGAAATTTATCGACTGTTGAGAGTCTGGGACCCCCAAAGAGGCACAAGACGATAGACACTAAGACGGGCTCAACATCGCAGGTTGGTTGTGTCTAGGCACACAGATGGTCCTTTCTTTTTTATGTATGTTTACATTTTTAAGTCTTGCTATTAGGTGTCTTCTGATATTATTGGTAGTTTAGGGGTCCGTTTGCAATATCATTGAAGTTTATGTTTAGAGTTGTTCAGTTTTAATATATCTAACAATTCGTGTTCTTTATGTGGGATGCATTTTTTAAATTTGAACGAAATATATTGAGAAAATCACTTTATTTTTCATTGAATTCTCAATATGCAATTGAAGCAATGAGTTTTTGACAGTATTATTCATTATTCTGCACATTCCGCAGCATCAAGAACTTTATATAGGTTGCCCGAAAAGTTGTTCAAAATCTCAATTAAATTTCAACGCAAGACTGCTATGAGCCTTAAAAAGAGCATCACTAGTAATGTTCTTGAAAGATCATCATTGTTAGAGAGCATTATTCCAAAAACAGAAACAATATTTAACTCAAAATAAAATGAAGTAGAAAGAAAATACTCACAGTCAGCATCCAAGTGGCATTCTCTACGTCTCGAGGATTTGATTTAACATACCGGTGATTAAACGTGCTCCCAGTATGCATGTCCACCTTGTGATCATCTTTCAAGTGAGCAACCAGGTATTGAATATCCCCGGCAACAGAGCACTCCGATCCAGCATACGGGCAGTTGTAAGGCCTAAAATTACAAACCGACTCGTGTTTCAACTTACTGTAATAGGGGAAGATCCCAGGGCATCCTAAGGAACGAAACTTGCAAGGAATTTCAAGTGATTCAGCCACCTTTTCTAGCACTAAACATCTTATATCACCCAGTTCTTGTCTACAGGTAGGACATCGGTTGTGAACCCTTGCTTTACAGGTGGAACAGAGTGTATGCCCATTGTGGCACTGCAGTTAAAAACATAACATGATGTTAAACAACTCCTGAATCACATTAATGAAACAAATGCACAACATTGATAATCACAACAATCAGCAGTTCTTCTTAAGGATTATGCAGTTACTCTGCTAATCCACAAATTGAAAAGGCTTTTGTTCCATACACAAATTTGGGGAGACATACCTCAAAAAAAGATTATAGCTAGCCCAAGTCCAAAATGAATGAGAAAATGCGATATTCAGTGAAAGAGAGACTAAAGGAAAATCTCACCAAAAAGTGTGCGATGTGTGCAGTTCTTCATATTCAGAGCATGTTTCAGCCCCATTAAAATCCAAGAATGCATTTTGGATGGAGAATTTGTGATTAAAGAATAAGAAAAAAGTTGAATTTATGTGTAATATTATTTTATTGAAAAATGTGTGGTCAACAAGAAGAGTGAGAAAAATGTATTTTAGAAATAATGAGGATCATACAAGGGCTCAATAAAAAATAGAAGCATTTGGATTTATCATCTCATCAGAACTGGGAATTTCTTGCATCATCACACCCACAATCCACATCCACGTCCACGTCCAGTTCTTTTGTTTCTATTCACCAAGCAATTTGACCATCACATATATTCCCAAGCAATCGTTTGAATTATCATTTACATTAGCAGAAATGCAACAATACATCAGGCCTGAGTCCCAAAGGGAATCAAATTTTGAGAGATAATCTACCTTACGGTGTGTTTGAGCTAAACTCACGTGCACGGTGTTCCCTGGGGCAAGTTCGGGTTCAATAAAGTATCTCAGGCCAAATTTCAAAAAGATCACTATCTTCAATATCAAACTAATTCTACTTATCATCTTACCCCGAACCAAAAAAGGTGGAAGATTTCTTCCACATTCATATTGATCTCATGTTTGAAATCAAGTCATTCAGCAGCATGATACTGGAAAATCAAACCACTCCAAAATAATTTAGCCATACCTATTAATGCCCCCTCACCTTCTAAACCTATAAATCAACTCGGCACTTCTACCCATCAAAATCCCCAACAAAAGCATCCCAATTAGTTCAACCAGTTGCCCAAAAGATTAATTTCTATGATAAAATACCAAATTTGGTACAAATTCGCACCTACAACCCTAATCAACATCCAGCTCAAAATGCAGAACATATTATTGCAAGACAAACCAGAAAATCCCTAAAAAGCTACAGAGAAATATACAAATTAGTTATCCACATCAATTGTCCAGAGCCCCCCACCGAAAAAAAAAAAAGAGATTGAATTTTGAAGACAACTAATACAAAAATAAAAATAAAAAGAAAGAACTGATACAGAAAATGAAATTTTCCACAGAAATTGCCCAAATCCTCCCTATCCCTATCCCTATCCCCATGCCCCCCACCCCCCTCCCACCAAAGAGAGAGAGAGAGAGAGAGAGTGAGGGTACATAGAATTGGTACAAACTGGGCATTCAAGAAGTTCATGGACACTGGTGGCAGGATTAATCACCATACCATTACGATTATTAGATTGCTTGGACGAAGAAAACCTAGAATAAGGATGGGGGTGGGTGATCTCTTCTTCATTCATCCCATCAGATGATGATATGCATTCAATGCTAGATTCCATTATTGCAACCCAAAAATTTTCTTCCTGTGAATTTCCAGATCAATTATTATACATTATGGGGTACAAGTAAATGGGTTTTTCTTGACGGGTTTTCTCTCTGTGATGGGTTTGACGTTTGAATTTGTTGGCAGTGAAAAATGTGTAATTTTTGGGTTTTCTCTCTCTAAATTCGGCCACGTACAAGAGAGAGAGAGGGGGTGGGTGAGTGAGGATAGGGGGTATCCAGTTCCCCTTCAAGGTGCTTTTCTTGATGGATTTTCTACTTTTCTTTTGCGCGAACTTTTACTTTTTTTCCTCCCATTTAAAGACATGATGGCCACTCAAGCATAATGAAATTTGTTATGGACCATTAAATTAACGAGAAAAAGTTTCAAGTGACTGATATATTTGACATAATGATGAGATGGCATCTACGGCATATTTGATTCCTATTAATATATATATATATTTTTTTTTAATTACACATTCTTCAATTAAATAATATTATATCTAAATTAAAAAAACTTTTACTTATTTTCTAATCACATCTTGTCCATCAATCTATTATTCTAAAATACATTCTTAAAAAATAATAACGGCTTGTTTGTTTGAGATTTTCAAATTCTACAATAAATCAATTCTCATTTTCAATCACANATCAATTCTCATTTTCAACGACACATTTTTCAATAAAATAATATTTTCCATCACATCAATAATTTTTTCTTCTTTTTCAACCACACATTTCCCATCATATCACTATTCAAAAATCAATTCTTCCCCCAAAAATCCCAAACAAACACCCCCTAAGGCTCAAACTCTAGCCTAATCTATATTGTAGAAATATTGCTGATAATTGTTGTAGAATAGTATATTCAAAATATACATTATGTCTTCTTTGTGTTTTTTTTTATTTTTTTGCTAAAAAGTTTATTTTTAAAATTTAATATTAATTTTAATCATATATTTCATAGAATTTACAAATACTATTTACTTATTTCTCATTTATTTTTATCAACTTATAATTTTTTTTTTTAAATTACCCAAACAAAAGCTATATCACATTTAAGTTTAAAAGTTAATTTATGCATTGTCGTGTAACATTGAGCATTATTATTATTATTATTGTTATTATTATACTTTTTTATGGAAATGGGAACGTTTCATCTCCAAATTTTGCAATTTGTTACTAATCTATCATCGACCTTTTTTAGCATTGACATCCCCGACTTTTGACTTAATAGCAAATCATGTCATTTCGTCCAACTTTAACATTAAGAGCTTGTTTGGGAGGGATTAAAATCAGATTAAAATTGAAAATGTAGTCGTTATTGTTGACTTTTATTAGACGGATGAGACCCAATAACGGCCATATTTTCAATTTTAATTGGATTTTAAGCCCTCCCGAACGGGGCCTAAGGGTCTGTTTTGGATGTATTTTGTCATGATTTGCATTCAAAATTTGACCGTTATATTGTTGTAAGGGGATCTTTTTTTTTTTTTGGCAATAATGATTGACTCATTTTTAAAATTTTAACAAAATGACCTTTTCTATTAAAGCATGAAATGGGAGTTATAGGACGCAATTGTCATTCTACCTAACTCTGTCAAATATTGCAGCTCCCTTACGCTGACACAACAGTATATAACAGCTACAAATTCACTTAAAATTTAATACAAAATCCCTCCCAGACATGTACTAAATATGCATAAAATAATGAATTTTCCCTTCTCATTAAATAAATGGGTTGAGCATTATTGTTAAATAATATAAAAAGAAAAAAGAAGTCCTTAAAAAAAATAAAAATAAATAAATGTTCTGAGTACCAAATCTTTTCAAAAATTACAAATAGATCACAACTAAGATAATGAAATATAATAGATAAAAATTTAGAAGAAACATGACTTCCCTAACCAGCCCTACTCGCCAACCTGACAAATCTTCACCCAAACAACTACCAGCCAACTGTCACCTCTCTTGCCACCCCCACAGCCCGTCATCACTCCCACATTCCCACAGGCATCACCACATTTTTGTTTATATGTTTCTAGAAAGAGATGTTACACCACCTTCACCCCTTTGTTAGACAATCATTAAATGGTAAAAATAGAGTTTTGAATAGTGAATTTTAGGAAAATATATGGTTAAAAAATAAGAAAAAATTTTGGGATTACGTGCAGAATATTTTATTGTGTGAATGCATGGTTGAAAATAAGTATGTAAAAAAAGAGTTTGAAAACAACTGTTGTCAAATATGAGCTTAGATGCATTCACATTTTTGCTCCTCTCTCTCTCTTCTCCACATACGCCGTCATGTTAGCGATGAGATATGCCACTTTGGTTGACCATAGGTTTGTCACTTCATACGACCTCCAGCTCCTACCTTTCTCCACCTCCAACACTCATGTTTGATCCTCCAACATGGCCAATCTCAATGTCATCGTCGTTTCACTTGAAGATTCAGCATTTTTATCTTTAAGAACGCATTTAGGTCCGCTGTGTGGACCTCTTTCTACCACCCCTTTGACATAATTGTTCCAAAGCAAAGTTTCATGGTAAAACATAATCTTTCATATGGGGTTTACTCATTTAAGCTCCAAAAAAACTAAGAATTTGACGCTTTGGTGGAATAATGCAAATGAGTATTACATTTTTGGGTTGAATTCCACCATGAATTTTCGAAGTTATGCAATCTAGTACTTGACATTCGATCTATTGAGGTGCAATAAGCATAGGTGCAATAAAAAGACAAAAACAAGTTATATAAGCATAGGTGACAAGTTATATAATCATAGCTTAAATTCTCATAAGATAATAACGTTTGAACAACTTCAATTGTCATAACATAAACAAGTTTAAATAGAAGCAAAGTAAAAACTGAAAGCTAAGAGAGTTTATGAAAAAGAAAAAGGATTAGATGCAAAGCTTCATCCTTCTGCCGACGGAGGAGGACCGCGAGGGTAGATGGAATACATGTGAGCATAGAAAGCATCTTGGGATAGTTGCATTTGCTCCAAATGTTGTTCTTGTGCCAAGTGCATTTGCTCCATTCGTTGCTCAAGAGAATCAATACGAGTATTGACATTTGGAGAAAGTAACTCAATTTGACCTTGGAGGATGTTGAATTGATCCATGGACATGTGTTGCCCGAAAGTGGGTGCTACATGCGGAGTAAAAACTCTATGCCTTGGTAGAGGTGGGTTATTACCATCACCACCATCACCATCCCCTCCATTACCATCACCGTCACCATCATTTCCATCGCCTCCATTGTCGACAATATTACCAACATTACCCATTTCCTCTATCTCTTCTTCGATGGATGGCCAAGTAGTGGGCCCCGAAGCATCATTAAAACTTTGAGTGTGACACACCCATTGCCCATGCCCTTTAACAATTTTCAAAGCTTAAGAGTGCGACGTCGGTGTGTTTAGGAGGAATAATAGGCTCTTCTTCTAAAGGTATATTGAAGTTTCTGGGAGATGAATTAACATGATGAAGGTGTTTTAAGAGATGTGAGAGAAATCCAATTTTCGCCCTACGAGAAGGGAGTCGAGGATAAATAGGTCGAGATGATGGACTTCCTCAAAATGGCCACTACAAGGCACCATAATGTGTGCAATTGCACGATGAAGGACCTTGCATGGAATATTGAGGTGATTCAAAGTTAAAGTCATGGAAGTGGTTAATTGTCGGTTGGTGACACAGAAACATGCCTCAAGTTCACTATAGCTGTCAAAAGTAATCGGAAAATGTTGCATATAGGCACGATTATCACAAGCATCTAGCTCAAGTATCCATCAAAGTATAGGTCTATCTAGGGTAATACGTTTGTCTTTAAGCATGCAAATGGCACAGTGTGAGTGAAAAGTGGCATGACGAAAGAATTCTTGAATTAGATTAGGATAGACACATTCGGAGATGGATATAACATTTTTCCACCCAATATTTTCAAAAAATTCTTCAATTCTAAGTGATGGTGCATTAAGAGAAAACTCAAAGAGGTCAATATTCTTACCACGAAGAATGGGATGGTCGGTGAATCGATCGGGCAAGGGTGCGTCCTCTTTTACAGTAGACGAGCTTGGTTCCCCTTTGCATGACCTTTTCTTTGGTGGCATGGTGTTGTGTTTTTCGACCAAGAGACAAGTTTTGAACAGATTTTGGATGGGGTAAGTGAGTTTAAGGGATTTGAAGCAAAATTTTTTAAAAAATGAGTTCTAGACAAAATCAAGGTTTTCATGATTTTTGAAGAATTTAGAGGAAAAAAATGTGAGAATTGATGGTTGTTTGTGATGGGTTGGTGAAAATTGCGTAGAAGTTGGAGTAGAAACTAAAGGAATTGATGCTTTGAGGAGAGGGAGAGGAAGAAAATCGAGAGGTAGATTTAGGGTTTGATTTTGGGGAAGAAGAAAATCAGATTTAAAGAATCTGATTCATGCTATTTCGGTCGATCGAAACTCCGAAGGAAAAAAATTTTAAGGTAGGCTCTGGAGTTTTCGGTGGACTGATGTATGACCGAAAGTGACACTTCGGTCGACCTCTCGTTCGACTGTAATTTTTTTTAAAATAATAATCATGTATATAAAACATATTTAGCCATAAATGTCAGATTCATCAACAATACCTAAGCCTCTACGAATATACGAGAATCTATCGAGAGCTAGAGGTTTAGTAAGGACATCGGCCAATTGTTTATCGGTACCAAAAAATTCTAAGTAAATGTCACCTTTTTGCACATGATCTCGAAGAAAGTGATGTCGAATTTCAATGTATTTTGTGCGAGAGTGCAAGATGGGATTTTTTTGATAGATTTATAGCACTAGTGTTATCACACATAATAGGTGTGTTTTCAAGAGATAAGTGATAATCATTTAGAGTTTGTTTCTCAATTATTTATAACAAATCGGATCATATTGTTATCAGATTGGATTGACCTATATCCATATTTGATCCATTTAATTAACGGATTATCGGATTTGGATCTTGATCGGGTTATCAGACTAAGACCCTAAATCAA